TGTTACCTGTATAAAAGACACCTGTCCACAGGAGCAATCAAACAATCAGATTCTAAACTCTCCACCATGGCAAAGACCAAAGAGCTGTCCAAGGATGTCAGGGACAGGATTGTAGACCTACACAAGGCTGGATTGGGCTACCAAACTATTGCCAAGCAGCTTGGTGAGAAGGTGACAAGTTAGTGCAATCATTTACAAATGGAATTAACAAAACTACTGTCAGTCTCCCTAGGTCTGGTGCACCATGCAAGATCTCACCTAGTGGAATGTCAACGATCATGAGAACAGTGAGGAATCATCCCAGAACTACATGTGAGGATCTTGTCAATGATCTCCAGGCAGCTGGGACCATAGTCACCAAGAAAACAATTGGTAACACACTACACCGACAAGGATTGAAATCCTGCAGTGCCCGCAAGGTCCCTCTGCTCAAGAAAGCACATGTCCAGGCCCGTCTGAAGTTTGCCACTGAACATCTGAATGATGCAGGGGAGGACTGGCTGAAAGTGTTGTAGTCAGATGAGACCAAAATTGAGCTCTTTGGCATCAACTCAAATAGCCGTGTTTGGAGGAAGAGGAGGAATGCTGCCTATGACCCCAAGAACACCATCCCAACTGTTATACATGGTGGTGGAAACATTCTGCGTTGGGGGTGTTTTTCTGCTAGGGGGACAGGACAACTGCACCATATCAAAGAGACGATGGACGGGACAATGTACCGTTAAATCTTGGGCGAGAACCTTCTTCCCTTAGCCAGGGCATTGAAAATGGGTCATAAATGGGTGTTCCAGCATGACAGTGACCCAAAACACACAGCCAAGGCAACAAAGGAGTGTCTCAAGAAGAAGCACATTAAAGGTCCTGGAGTGGCCTTCAGACCTTAATCCGATTGAAAATCTGTGGAGGGAGCTGAAAGTTCAAGTTGCCAAACGTCAGCCACCAAACCTTAATGACTTGGAGAGAATCTGCCAAGAGGAGTAGGCCAAAATCCCTCCTGAGATGTGTGCAGACCTGGTGGCCAACTACAGGAAATGTCTGACCTCTGTGATTGCCAACAAGGGATTTGCCACCAAGTACTAAGTCATGTTTTGTGAAAGACACCTGGTAGCCAGAATTCCTACTGAATGAACGGGGATCAAATACTTATTTCCCTCATGAACACGCAAATCAGTGCATAATTTGTTAGATATGCATTTCTTTTGACTTTTTTTGCTGCTATTCTGCCTCTCAATGTTATAATACACCTACCATTCGATTTTTGGACTGAGTTTCTTTGTGAGTAGGCAAACATTCAAAATCAGCAGGGGATCAAATACTTATTTCCTTCACTGTATATTATATAATTTGCCTAGGCATGGAAACTAGGAAGTATATTTAAAAAAAAATAAATAAATAAATCTTAATACAAGGAAATATGATATACTTTCCTATCCATGTACTAATGCTAGCAGTATAAGAATTAAAAAAAATAGTCCACCCGAGGCCCACTCACTCCTGTCAGACTGAATCCAGACTTCCCCCCGGGTATGTCGCATACCTTCTTGCGGGACTTGGTCCCACTGACAGCTTAAGTATGCACCAATTCTTTACAGGCGGAAGGCTCTTATCCAGAAGATCTCCTTCTGAAGAAATGGCCAACATTGATCTTAACACAATGGATGTATAGACAACTTCATCATTTCGTCCTCAGCTCAACCCAACTAAAAGTGTTTCACTAGACATTTGACCCCCTTTGAGAAACTTTGCGCAACGGACTCACCTCAGAGACATATTATTTCCCAACTTTATTCCGGTCTCAAAACCACCAATGACCTCTCAACGAGGAAAGCTTGTAAGGCCTGGAGCGCAGACCTACAACTCCAACTATCACCGAAAGACTGGGATCACATATATGAACACATACATAAAGGGTCTATATGTGTCTCCACACAAGAAAATAACTTTAACGTGTACTCTAGATGGTATAGAGCTCCATCTCGGCTTCACCGCTTCAACCCCAATGTCTCAGATTTGTGTTGGAGATGCCATCAAACGACAGGCACACTCCTACACATTTGGTGGGAATGCCCATTGTTGCAACCCTTTTGGGGGAAAGTTCAATCTACAATTGCACAAGTTACCACGTACACCCTAAACCGTCCCCCCCACACACAATTTCTTCTCTATCATACGGTACTTCCATTTCGGACATAACGCAAATCACTCGCCTTGCATATGATAAATGTGGCTAAGCAATGTATCCCAGTCCACTGGCATTCAACACATGTTCCCACTATACGAGAATGGTTTACCCGGATTGACAAAACTGAGGAAATGGAGGAACTGATTTCTGTAGCTAAGGAACATCCCGAGAGATTCAGGAAAACATGGGTATGCTGGAGTCATTACAAATCCACCCCTAACTATTGCCTAATAGTACACGATCAACCAAGACCATCTGGCTGAAGGTCTAACTACAACGCTATAGGGGGATATATTCTGATAACCGAAGACACTTCTCTCATACACAAGGATGGTATGTTCATCTATATCTCAACATGCCTTCTGGGGTTTTTTGATACCTGCGTTACCCCACTGACCGGTCTTTCACACATCATACTTCAAGCTCTAGCAATACCTGTCTGGCTGGGCCAATACATGAGAATGTAATGCCTTCTCTCCCCCCCCCCCCCTTTTTTTCCTCTCTTCCCCAACATCTCACCCTATAATTCTTTCTACTACTGTCTTTCTTTCTAAACCTCTGGTCTTCACACCTGTTATTTCCCTGTATCATTTCTTCTCTACCAACCAAATAGAGCATTTACCTACACACAGATATGACTAACGTCAACCATAACACATACGCTAGCTATAAATATGTGAACAATGACCGTCACAGTACCCAACGCTTTCCCTACCCTTACCCCTATCATCACACAACTTTACCATTGAAAAGTGGATGAGAGTCAGGACAAGATAACATTCACTAACAGCATTTTATCCATTTTCTTCTTGGTATCCACCATTTGACTTTATGATGGATGTACTCTTTTACATGATTTCGTCTTGCACAACTGTTTACAATTTGTCTCGTTTGCGAAATGGAAAGCAACATGTCATGTCTATGTTTTGACTGTGACCTATGGCTGTACATGCTCTAAATGCTTTTCTCTTCTCTTAAAACAAAGTATTTTTGGAAAAAAAAATAAATAGTCCATGCCGATTTAGAGAGTGAAGTTCCGCTTTAAGGAGGGATTCCAATTGCTGATCAGTAGAATACTTAAGGGTGAGTGAGCCCTCTGCCTGCCAACTGGTGTTATTATTTTGAGTCACTGGCAGATCCATGGTGGGTATAGACTTTAACTCCTCTTTCCCTCTTTGAAGGGAATAGCTCTAACACACCCTTAGGTGGAAACCAGGACTCTTCAGGGTGCTTCCAGGCCTCAAAGAATGCCTCAATCAGAAAGTGTAATGAAAGTTTGCAAAGCTAAAAGGAGCTCTGAAAGATCAAAGGCTAGAGACAGCAAGCAGATTCTTCAAATGCAGGGTAGAATGGACTGCATCAATAAGGTCCAAAACTACTCCTTGTTGCGATGGCAGGAGACTATGGTGCCTAAAAGTAAATACACTTCAGAGATAGAATGTTGGGATTTTGGGAACCTGGATCAGTGATGGTCACAATGACCAGTTGTTTGGTCTCTCCTACAGATTCTGGAAAGTCAGAACTAAATTGACGCTGGAGTGCATATAAAACCTCTGCATTTCGTGTCCACAAAGAATATTGCCAATATGGCCACAAAGTGTGAGAGTTCCACGTTCTGCAACAGAGGTCAGGTTCAATTAGGTCACAAAATATGTGCCTGCATCTGCGACACAACTGGGAAAACAGACAGTCACTAAGTGGCCACACAATCACACAAAAACAAGTTCATGCTGGATACAAAAACAGCCACAAAGATTATAGTGAAGGTATACTCTAATTACAAACTGCTCTTATTTCCTACCTCTGGTAAATACTTCATTTTAAAAAGCATTTTGTTAAATCTTTTTGATAAAGTACAAAAAATACCTGTCAATCATAGCAATTCAGAGTTGTTCATGTGTTATTGCAAAGAGTCTAATTAGCCCTCTTTGTTTTTATCTTGGACTACAGAATAATTAGTGTCTATGTTGTAGTAATGAGGAGAGTGGGAGTGTTTGAGGAAATTAGACAATTGGGCAGTGGACACTAATCAGCAAAAAAAATGTTCCGTGCTTTTAGCCTACAACAGGACTTAAGTATTTCTGGCAGGTCAACAGGTATATTTATGCACTTGCAGGGTAGTTAAATGGATAAGTTCACATTTCATAGTTTTTTTTACACTCAAATTCAGGGTGAAACATTTAACATATTACAGATGGAGCAGTTCCCATATCTCTCCCAATCTCGCATTTTGACAGTGAGCGGGGGATTGTGTCCCTGCGCTTGCTGTAACAATTTAAGAAAAAAAACACGGCCATGTGGGCGGAGTAGTGAATGTGAAAACAAGAACAGTATTTGCAGCTGTTGGCTTGTAATTCTCAATGAACTACCAGGGCACTGTTGAGCACACTGGTAGACCATTGAGTCTTCCTGTCAGTGTGTAACTGACTGCCTGTATGAGGTACAAGCAGACAGCTTACACAGACTGTCTGCAAGAGATCTGCATAGCACCCACAATGCTTCGCAGACTCATAGTAAAAAAATAAATTGTAAAAAGCACATTTTTTTAATCTGCAAAAAAAATGTGCATTTAATATTGTTTTCACAAGGATGATCACAAAAGGAGATCATGGGTAAATGTGCATGTATTCCTGAGAGGTACTAAATGTGTTTTTTTTTTTTTTTTAATGACATACTCTCAAAAACATACAAGACCATATGCAGTTGCAATAAGAAATGTTTTCTATGATATCTTCGTTCTGCACTCTAAACACAACAACAAATCTCTTTAAAATACATCTTTTTACCTGTCTACACGAGCTCTAGAACTAGCACTTACCTACACAGTCACAGCACTCATCCCAAAGTGTGCCAAGACACAGCATACATTCCTTACAGCAAGAGCAGTTTCCATCTGTAGGACGACACTGGCACAGCTCCTGGAAAAAATAATTGGAAATGGGCATTCTTAGTACTATAGTTTGTCCTTTTTTCATTAGGAAACAGGCACAGTATGGTATTAGTGAGAATATTTTACAAATATATAAAAGACCATATGTTTATACAAAATATACCTAGATCTGTTGCAAAGGAATGTGTTATGATAAGATCTAGGTAGACAGAGCTTATTGAAATGGTCACATCCCTCATTACTGCTCACAGCAGGAGAGATACATGAATGCTTTAAAATGCAGAGACTTCTGGTCTAGAATTGAACAAATGTCTGGAAGGGTCACACAAAAGGAAGTCATTAGGCTCCTGTTTACACACCAACTTCTTAATGGTCTTCCAACAATGCTCAGAGTAAAGTCTCCACTGTTGCATGAAGTGAGATGCTTCATTACTTCTGAATGGTGTACAATGCTATCAATGTTTAACTGGAAGCTGTGTATATGAAAAAAGTAAATCCTTTCTTCACACTTTAATACAACCTATCTAGTGTGCATTCAATGCATTAAAGCTAGCCATAGATGGATCGAATCTCTGCCAATTCAGCATGGTCCAGCTGAGATTCGATGCATTTATGAGCAGGCTGACTGATGAATTGACTTGGATACAACCAGTATGTCAGATTTTTAGCTTGCAATTATTGCTGCTATAGCTGCTAGCAATATTAATTGCGTTCTCCTGGCAAGAACGGCTCCCTGCACTCACTGTGTAGATGGTGTAATCAAGCTATTTTCTTTAATTCCACCCATGGTTGCAAGAAAGAAAATCACAATCTATGGCCTGGGGGGGGGGGGGGGGGGGGGGGGGGGGGGGGGGGGGGAGAAAATCAGCGCTGTCTAGACAGAGGGCCAGGGGTTATGCAGCTTCATAGAACAATTAGAAGACATTGAAAACTCCTCCTACAAGCTTGCTCTGCATTGTGTAAAAAAGCGGTTCGATTCTGACTTCTTTGATCCTCCCCTTCTTCTAGTGTCTCCCTCTTATCTCCTGATAAGGCATATTGTGTGGAGTCGCTCTGCGCATGCTCAGTTTGGTGTGGTTTGCTAGAGAGGGTTTTTTTCTCCCTTGGTAGTGCATGTGATCAGCACAGAGCCAATCTGCACTGTCCAGACAGAGGTCAGGAGTTCTGCATCCTAGAGCAGAATAAAAACTCCTCCTACAAGCTTTAACCAGTGCTCTGCTGGACACTGATAGAAGTCACAAGACTGCTCTAACTGCTGATAAGCAAAAGGTACTTAGTTTATGTTACTAAAATAATTGCATTTCTATGTTATGTGTACTGTGGGAGACCAGATATAGTGAATGAACAGTCTTGTGTTTAGTAACACTTTAATTCCAAAATCGACTGTTAAAAGCAAAGGAAAGCAGGCTATAGACAGTGCAAATTTCTTTGGTTGCAGGAAAATAATTCACTTGATTCCCCCATCAACACAGACAGTGTTGACAGGGGAATCGCTCCCGCTGATCCACTGTGTTCTCCTGGAGGGGAAGCGGTCCCCTGCTGTGAGAAGATAGTGATTATTGCTGACAGCTGCTAGCAATAATCACATGTACAATCCAGCAGACTGGTTGTAGCCAAGTTGATAGATCAACTTGGGTACATTCAGCCTGCTCATACATGGTTTGAATCTCAAGGTTCAAATCGTCTATGGCCGGCTCAAATATTGACGTATGTTCGAATAGTATTTGTTAAGTCAAATGTACTAAGAATTTTTTTCAGTGTTGCAATAAAAACAATGCTGCCACAGCATAAGAGGTGTAGCATAAAACTATTTTACAAATCACAAAGCTCCCATTGGAGGAGATGCCTATAGACTTTTTTGTTCCTTAATTTTGATTACATTAAAGTGCATCTTCCACACAAATGCAGAGGTGTGAAACATACCTCCATTCACACTAGCAGGACATATTGTGCTGCTTATTGTAAAAAAAAAAAAAAAAAAAAAGTGTAATCGCATTACAGGTACATGCTGTTAGTGTGAGGGAAGCATTTACCTGAGCTTCCAAACAGTTCTAGGCCTTCCCAGGCACCACAGTGTCTGCTAAATTCAGTGCTGTAAACAGCTGTATTATAGTTGAACACATAACTTTCACTTTAGAAAAGGAAAATAGCCTAGAGCTATTTGTCAGTACTTAACATTATCCATGTGTCTCTAAAGATCCACTTTCAGGCACAAATATTTAATTCTTTATTCCTTTCTCTGGTTCTCCAAAATGTAAGGAAAATTTAAAAGAAGAAGAGCAGCAGAAAATGTTCCCTATTTTTTTTTAACAGATAAAAACCATTACCATAGTGGAGCAGCCCCAGAATTATTTCAGAAAAAAAAAAACACATGCATTTCATCTTTGCAATACATACATATTTTCCTGTACACTATCCCTTTCAGGTGCAGAAAAATACCTGTTGATGTACGAGAAATGCACTCAGTTCTTATATCTTTGTTGTGTGCTGAAACATTGTCCACATTTTTGTGGACTGAATTGAGTCAACCCTCCCTGCTGTCTTTTGCTAAACCTTGGAATCCCAACCACTGGCCTCATTTCCAGGACACAGTCCAAGATAAAGCAAGAATATTGGCCGAATGATCGTCTAGTTTTTTTTTGCATGCTAGTCTCATATCAAAAATGAAGAGGGTTAATAAAGTTACGAAAATTTTTGCATGACAGAATAGAATTTCAGAAGTGATGTAATGTATTCTTTTGTTTCTGAGCATGATTGGTCTCTTTTTTTTGGACCAATGCTGTACTGCTTAAAACAAAAATAGTATGTACTGGTATCATACGATTAAAATTTCTGTGTTTGTCCCTCCATATAATTTTGCATGAACTGTCGCAATCGGCCCTCGAAAACTGTGTACTGATGATCAGATTACACAGGTCTGCGACTAAAAAACTGTTTGATTATTTTCATCAAATTTCCATGTATTTTGATGTGCTAAAAAAAAAAAAAAAAAAAAAAAAAAAAAAAAAAAAAAAAAAAAAAATTGAAAAAACTCCTTGACGTCATGATTTGCCAAAAAATGCAAAATTGTCTTCAAATTTATCAAATTTTTGGTATTTTTTTATATTATGGGTTTTTAAACAAATTTAAAGTCCAAATTACTATTAATTAATTCACATAAGTGCATTTAAGATATAAAATGCCAAAAAAACTTAAAGGGGTTGTCAGTTATGAAAAAAAAAAATAGCACTGTAACTGATGGTCAGCAATATATACATAAGCTAAGCAAGTTTTAGGGAAAAAAAAAATAATTCTATTTCCTCATTTCCCTAGTTCTCTTCTGGCCCTTTGTTGTTATTTGCAGGTAAACAATCTCTGCCCCTCCCCCCTGCAAAGGGGGTGAATACAAGAGCTGCTCTGAGTGACATGTCTGACTACTGGGATACTCAGCAGCATGCTGAATGTGTAAGCCTCAGCCCTGAGTCTGTGCTTCTAATGGTAGAAGAGGTTAATCTTTCCTGAAGAATCCAGTGGGTGGGATACCAAATTCCCTTGTTTTCTGTCTATATGGGACAGTCGAGACCGACAAAATCACTGGACCAAGAAGAGTTGGCAGCTGAGGGTGCTAACAGTGGGTGAAAAAAAAAAAAAAAAAAAAAAAAGTCCTCCGAGAAACTGGTACCTTCCCATAAAGTTCTTCTACCACCTCTCCACATAAAATTGGGATTGATGAAGCAATTCATAAAATCACTTCCAAGAGATGGAGAATGCTTCAAATACTTTGTCACCAAGTTTCCAGGCCTGTCAGAGGCAAAATTGAAGGAAGGTGTGTTTTCGGACCAGACATTAGAAGGCTTATAGTTGATCAAGAGTTTGTCAATACCATGACGGATCCTCAAAAAGAAGGGTGGATTGCATTTAAAGAAGTCGTACAGAACTTTTTAGGCAATAACAAAGATCCTCACTACAAAAAAATTCATCTGACGAATGCTGAAAGCATTTCAAGCTTTAGGTTGCCTGATGAGTTTGAAAGTGCATTTCCTCCAGTCCCACCTTGACTCCTTTCCTGAAAATTTGGGAGCTGTGAGTGAGGAACAAGGTGAACGATTCCACCAAGACATTAAAGAGATGGAAAGGAGATACCAGGGAAAATGGAGCATTACAATGATGGCAGACTACTGTTGGATGCTTCAGAGAGACATTCCAGATGCTACTCACAAGCATAAATGCACCAAGAGGACCCTCACAGGGAAGAAGAATCGAGTTTAGTGTGTATAGGTGAGCTCATTTCAGTTCAAAAAAGGATTTATGAAAAAAAATTGTAATAAAACTTAAATGGAAATAGACTTATAAAATTAATTTTGAGGTATTGCCTTAACATAGTTACCTAAATTGTCAGGAAACGTGAGGTCCTATGACAAATGGAGGTCATTTTCGGATTCAGTGCACCAAAAAACAAAGATTATGTGGAATAACCAAAACAGCACTTGAAAAAAAAATTTTTTGCAGACCTGTGTTATCGGACGAAAAATACAGCTCTCAAAGCGATTTTTTGATCATATGTACTTGACTAAGAACCAGAAGGACTAAGTACACTCAATAAGAAAAAAACAGGAAGTGTACACAGGACAGCTCGGTATTTGAGTGATCATGATTTTTGCATTTATTGAAATGTAAGAAATTGTTCAGCCTTGATCTTCAAGGCTCCATGCAAACTAGCTGTTATCAGCATTTTTTTTTTCCTGATCCTAGAAGTTAAGTGTTGTGTGTCCATTCACACTATTTTAGGCTATTCAGAGTTTAGAGCAGGAAAAAAAAAAAAATAAAAATAAAATTAAAAAATTCTGTAGCGTTTTTGGGAGCGTTTTTCCAGCAGAAAAAAAACCCCCGCTAAAAACGCACCCAACAGCTTTTTTTTCTCTCTTTTTTTTTTCCTTACATGTACTGTAAAAAAGTTAATAAAAAACTCGTACGCTCCTAAACCATTACCAGTGTTTTTTTTAGCTAAAACAAAAACCGCTAGTGTGGATGGAGCCTAACTGAACAAAATAAAAAGTAAATAACAGAAGAAGTTCATTGTTGGGCTTATTACCATCACAGAATGGTAACAGTAGAATGATCATGTTTAGTTATCAAGCGGATCCATTTTATTTTACTTACAAATCCATTTAATTGTGGTGATGAATCCTTTGATAAACAATATTCACATTCTGTTGTAGGACCAGATCATACTAGGTTTTACCAGCAACGTTTTCTACTTGTACAACAACTTGTAAAACAATGATCGTAGACCATCTACTATCTATACAAACTTCGAAAAACATGGTGGTGCATACTAGACCAGAATTTAAAAAAAAAACAAATAATAATAATAGTAATAATAATAATAATAACAACAACAGAGATTTCAGTGACTATAGACAAAGTGAAGTAATCAGTCTGGCCACCTCTAGACACTTAAAAGGTAAAGCTACAAAAAGGGCATAAAATGACAACTAAGAAAAGCCACAAGACTATGATAATCTAAAAGCAAGTAGATCTTCTTCACATACTGTTGGTTGGAAGGCTGTAAAGTCAAATGATAGCCTGACATATGAAAGTGGCAGCCCTCAGATGACCATTATAGTAATGATCGTAGACTATGGTTGGGTGGAAAAATTAAGCAATCTATGAAGAAGGGCATTGCTACTCAGTTGTACCTGGTGCTGTTTGCTTACCAAGCACAGTCCATCACCCTATACATCCAGTGGATTTGGAGGCAACCTGAAAACAACTACTTTGCATGTTTGCCAAATGTTCATGCTGTAGGAGTTTGGATGTATGTCATCTGGCACAGCTGAAAGTCTGGTTTACTGATTATGTAAAACCTTCATCCCAAAAGAACAAAACTCTTTGCCATAACCACTTAAAAATAATTAACTGTTTGGTTTCAGTTTGTTAGTGTATCTAAATCCACCAGTACATCCCACACTCCCTTCCCCCAGACTGACAATGTTGCTGTCCAAAAAGGGTCTCTGTTGCTCCTTCACCGATAGTGGAGGTACCCTAATACAGGAGGTGCATTTCTGACCAAATCATAGGTGAAAACAGAGGAAAAAAAAAGCCTAAAAAAGAAAACTAATGTAACAATCACATCTACAGATTAGTAAGCTGCAATGTATTATATTTTTGGTCTTGGATTTAGTACCGCTTTAAGAGCAAAAATGACTGGTAGCAATTGGCAACATCTCCACTTTTTAATTAACCCATACCAAACAACCCCAAAAAAAAAAAAAAAAAAAAAAAAAAAAGTGTTATATTGCAGTTTACTGAACTAGTTTTTTTTTTTTTTTTACATACCCTCTGTTCTCAGCTGCATAAGAGCTGGGGACAGGAAACAACATCACACCGATCTTCCCAGTGAATGGCTGCACAGGGGGGTATGTTGTCAGTCAGTTTTTAATAGTAATCATTAGGGACTCTTAGGAATACCAGGGATTTCACACAAAAGGAAGCAATACAAAGAGAACAGGGTACTTTTTCATAAGAGTACATGGTACAGCAGTCACATATCAGGGATATGAAATGTTGGATTTACATATTCTTTAACACAAGAAATTTAACCCTTTAAGCCGACAAATGTGCGGCCTCCCAGCATCTGGGCCTAGACGCCGAGCAGCCGCACATTTGCGTTCAGGTAAGAAAAAAAACATATGTGATGAGAGCGTGCACCCTGCACACTCCCAGCACACATGTCCGGTACTCACGGAAAAAAGGTCCTGGTCTGCTCTTTCGATCGGGACCTTTCCCGATCATGTGACTGCCACGACGGCGCGTCACGGCGGTCACATGATCCATAAACCCCGCCCGTCCTAACTTCTGAAACTCTTAAAGGGCCGGGAGGTGCCGGCGGGAAGGGGTTAAGGTATGTTTGTGCCTCCTTTTCGGAAGTGACAAGTGCACAGCATTTCTGGCTCCATCAACAGATATTTTTTGTACTTGCTGAAAATATTTTTAGTCTTAAAAAAAAAAAAAAAAAAAAAAAAAAAAAAAAAAGGAGAGAACAAACAGCCACCACATTTGAGGACGGTAAGCTTCAATATATAAACCAACATATCCCTTTTGTGGTAAGCCATATAAATCCCACATAAAGCCCAAAATTAAATCCTACAAATATAATCAATTTATCCAATCAAAATAAATATTGTTACACTTAAAATATGTGTCCAATTTAAATTCACTCCCAATTGTGTTCCAAAATCACATAAAATAAAAATAAAACAGAATCCAAATGTGTCCAATATCAAAGTCCCAAATTTTCACTTCAATCCAGTTAAAAGGAAATTGATCCTAAATAATTCCATGAAAACCTAAAAAAAAAAAAAAAAAAAAAAAAAAAAAGGAAAATAAAAAATTCATAGTGTATTATCTTTTTAAATATATGTACTTCACTTCGTCTGAAGTCCGGAAGTGACAAAACACATTTAGGGGAGTAATTTTGGGCTTTATATGGTTTACCACAAAAAGGATATGTTGGATTGCATACTTTCTAGGGAGAAACTGTGACTTTTTGGTAGGAGTGGAAGGGAAGGAGTTTGATTGATTCAATATATAAAGTTTTGTTTTGGTGTTAGATTTACTTTAACAATAGACAATCATATTGCACAAATACAGTCTAGTCTACAGTCTCTGGCCAGCCGTGACCCAAGAATTCCAGTGAAAGGCTTTACCTTACCTGAATTAAGCATTTGCTGACATCACTTGCACAGAGGGCTTTATTGCAGCACTGTACTGGCAAAATCCAAGAAATGCACACAGCAACAGCTAATGCAGGAATGGGAAAGTGATACGACTTCATTCTTTACAACAAATAAAAAGGAAATCTTCCTGGGAAAGCTGGAAATAAAGCACATCATATAGAAATACAAGCGTTAGCATATATCATTTTCATGAATGCAATCACAATATTACAGTGCCATAATTTTTGTGTACTATGATCACAAATAGAATAAGACACATTACAAAAGGCTACATGGGATAGTTTTCACAAATTATGCAACCAATCAAACCATGGTTTAAAGATAATTAAGGTCATCAAGTGAGCAGTAATGAGCACATACAAGGTGTTACACAGATTTTTTTTTAACATCTAAAAAGACACAACTTGATGCGCTGCTGTCATCTGGTTAATATGAAACTAGTTATATTGTAAAGTGCTGAGCAAATTGTTGGCGCTATATAAATCCTGTATAATAATCAGTATAAAAATATGAACACTTCCCCACTTGTTTTGAAGGAGCATGCTCCAAGCCTGTAATCCTGATCAATTCTCCAGTAACCTGGACCAAAAGTGCATGTCAAATGTGAAAGAGAAATAGAAAGAACAGACCAGACAAATACTCATGCCGCATTACAGATACAAACCAGGATTTTAAATGAATGCATTGAACAACCCACTTTAAAAAGACCAGTCCACTCCAAAGTGAAAATTTTAGTTTTAGTTGAAACCTGGTGAGCTATGTCAGCCCCTGGTTCTTATGTCTTTGCTACTACAATAGCACCATTTTTTTTTTTTAACTTTCCAGCACTTCCTGTTGCATTATGAATAAAGTAAAATGAAATAGACAAATAACAACCCTCCATTAAATAAATTAAATAATCCAATAAAAGTATGTAAGAGACATAGGCAGTAGAATCCCTGAGAGATACAAGTAGTTGTCAGGTGATTGAACGTTTGAAAAACTAAAATCAGTTTTGGGTGAACAGACCCTTTAAATCACGTCAATTTTACTAAGCTGTGTAACTGGCTGTTTAGTACATTTATATTCTGTGAATAAAGCTTCATTCACACTGCCTATAAAACTCAGGAGCTGTCTGCCTGTACAGAGGTATAAAAAGAGCTCTAGGCAGCGTGTACAGGAACCTGGCATTGCAACCATGATCTACTGATCGCAGGTGCAACACTCTGCAGGCTCCAGTGAAAAAAAATAAAATAAAATGCACATTTTTTTCCCTGCAAAAATAAATGTATTACTTTTTTCTTCACAAAAAGGTGAATTGAAAGTGGAACGTCACTCTCCTAATTAACAGACTATTTGTAATCCTTATGCCGTTAGCATTAGTAAATAGATAGGAAAGTATATATTTACTTGCTTTAAACTTTTTTTTTTTCAGTTACTGCCTTGTTTCCAGGCCTAGGCAAATGACGTCAAAAATCCCAGGAGTCTTCAGGAGGGTTCTCAGTTAAGCACACCCTCCTGCCTGCATGCATGATCTAAGGGCAGATGGATCCCAGGAAGAAAATGCTACATGAATTATCTGCCCTTACTCAAGATGGTAACAGCCAAAAATGCTGAGGGGTGTTTTCAAACTGATTTCCCAGCAAAATAAAGCATGCATAGATGGGGGAGTTTGCGTTTAATATTAAAAAATGAAATAATCGTTTGGGTTTGTTTTGCTCAGATGTAATGTAGTTCTGCTTTAAGCAGCCCATAGAATAGTCATTTTTTCCCCATTCAATGTGGATGGAGGAATCCTCCCTGCAGAGATATTGAATTCTGATATGAAAGCAGTATTAAAACCAAACATTTACTACTTTGCAGCTTACCCATTCTTAGATGTGATGGGTGCACTTGTTTTCTTTTTCAGGTTCTCTTTCCTTTATTTTTACCTGATAATCCAGCCAGTAGGTTTGTTTTTCAAAAGAACAAGCTCTCCTGCTGATTTATCAGTCATGAGGGCGAGGCAAACCATTTACCACTGACAGGGGTGTTTACAACCATCAGTTATTAATGTAAAACATTTATCATAAATGAAAAACGGTTTGCTGTAGCTCCTTATGAAGTATTAGCTGGAGTCTGGCTTCAATTTGTTAGTTTACCTAAATCTGCTAGTCCACCTAACACTCCCATCCTCCCAGACTGACAAAGCTGCTGTCTAAAGCTACTTCTGTGCTCCTTCATCCAGAGTGGGGCACCCTTACCCCTGGTTCACATTTGTGTGGGTGGTGCCGCTGCGGATCCGCACAAAAATACGTGCAGCCACACCACCCGCACATAGGAACGCAGACCCCCTGTGGGCAGTGCCATTATAATGGCACGCCACCAGCAATGGAAATCACAACCAGGGTGGATAAAAATCAATGATTAAAAAAAAAAAAAAAAAAAAAAAAAGGGTTTTTTTTTATTTAAATCGGATTTTTTAAAATAAAATGCTTTTTGGAGGAAAATATATTACCATCCAAAGGTTATTCCATCATGAAATAAAGATTAGTTTTTTTAATTATGTAGAATAAGGCTGTATACGTTTAAATTTTTTTGGTAAATAAATTCCATTAATCCATTCACAATGTCATGCTCTTTTTTTTGTAAGATTATTGGGCAGTTTCTCTGCCTACAAGATATTATCACAGATGCTTGGTTTACTTTTGCAGTTCTCAAAACTGAATTTGACTCAGCGGAGATCACATGCCTTTTCTTCACAGCAAAAATGTTATAACATGAACAGAGTTAAGAAAAAGACCTTAATCCTAACTTCTACAAACCTATGAATACAGAATCAACCCCTTCAGTGCTAAATTTCAAGAAGTTCAGATTGTTTGGAGTGGAATAGATCTGCACAAGAAGAAAGTGAAACTAAGTGTGAGGAGGAAGGGCTGACAGTCTAAGTTTCTTAAAATATATTTTGTTTAGCCAAATTAGTTAACAAACATGGATTTTTGTTTTAAGCAAAAATAACATATGCTGTAATGTTATTGTTTCAGTTTGAATAAATCTAGTAATGATTATTTTTCTCCCTTCCTAAGTACAACAGAAAAGTTATCCCAAATATGAATGATTAACCTATTAAACTGGGGATAAAAAAAACTAATATGAAAAGTTGTTATTCTAAAAATCTTCATCTACTTGCATATTAAAGTTATATACCAACAAGAATTAGTCCTTTTATGTAGAAAACTATGATTTAAATCAAGCCTTACCGACTAGTGATTTAAATCAAATCCACCCTGATCACAACCGTACTGGGAACGGAGGTTCCCAAGCGGGCTGAGTTTTCTGAAGAAGTGCAGGGACTCCATGCAAATGAATGGGCTCTTGTGCCCATGCAAAAACGCGGCCCACAGGAACACAGATGTGAACCTAGGCTAATACAGGTGGTGTGTTACTGGTCGGATCATCAGTGTGAAAAACAGAGGGGAAAAAGCCTAAAAAAAAAAAAACTAATGCAGATGCCACATCTAAGGACTGGTAAGCTGAAATATATTACAGTTTTTGTTTGGGGTTTAATACGCTTTAATTTTGGATTAAGTCCTCATGCACACGGGGGGAGGAGCCTAACTATGGCGGCGCCGGAGAGCACGATGCGAGTGCTCTCCGACAACCTCCGAGCACCTTGGAGACCTACCTGAGTGAGGAGGTCTCCAGGGGAGAGACGCCGGCGCTCTGGAGGGACGGGAGCGGAGCTCGGGGAGGTGAGCGTGCCGCGGTGACCAGCGATCAGCTGTTCGGGTTGCCGGGGAGATGGAGTAAGGAGAAGTGACCACGTGGGTTGGGCCGCAAGGCAGCTCTGGGAAGCGGAGACGCCGGCCGGCATTCCCTGCCAAGTGCCGGGTCCCAGACAGGAGAGCGGAGACGCCGGTTTACACCCCAAACCTACAGGAGAAGAAAGAGAAACAGGACCCACATCCACAGTGTAGGAAGGAGACCCCTGCAGGAATCCCCCCAGAGACATTGGCCAGGTGTAAAGAGTGGACGGCTGAGGCTCTAAGTCGACCCACTTGGGTGAGTGGTGAAGAAGGGTGAGTCCACACCGCAAGAACCACATGTGTGTAACTGTTTATGCTGGCTGATCTGTGGGAAAGGACTTAAATATTGCCCATAAAGAGAAAAGGGGGATTCCCAGGGATTTGGAAAGTGAGAAGTGGTAAAAAGAAGTGTTAAACTGACAGAACCTGTCTGACATCATTACCCCAATATACAGCTTAAAATTTCCCTCTGATTAAAGAGCACAGTTATTGCAGAAGATATGAAGAATAAAAGCACTAAAGGAAGTGGGCTAAAAGGGTCTCAGACAGGTACAATTAAAAAATACACCTCCCAGGGGAATGCGACTCCAGAAAGAGCCAATAGTGGAAATGAAAAAGGGGGAAATGGAAACTTCCTTGGAGAACAGTCCTAGAATGTCATTGGGCTTGGAAAGTAGTAACCAACAGTGGAAAGAAAATTCCGTTAGGATAGATCTGGCAAAAGATCTACAAGTGCCAAATAAAAGTGAGATGGCTGAAATGTTTAAGGATCTGGAAAAAACTATTAAGCAAGAAATGACAAATATACGTCAGGATCTAGGGCACCTGCTAATAAGAACGGAAGAAATGGAGGGAAAAATTAACAAACATACCCAAGACATCACGGACTTAGAAAAAAGGGTCCGCTATGATGAGGAATACGCAGAAACAACTGCAGTATAAAATAGAAGTACAGGAGAACAGATCCAGGAGAAGCAACTTGAGGATAAGAGGAAACCCAGATATTCTGAAAGGGGGAGATCTACGAGATATAGTCTGTAAAATGTTAAACTCCATCATGGATAGACCTGAAAAACAGGAGGAAATTAAACTGGATGGAGTTTTTAGAGCAGGAAAGTTCCAACAAGGTATAATGCGAAGGAAAAATCAAGAGATGTGATTGTTCAGTTGCAAAATTATGGAGATAAAGAAGAGATTTGGAGAAGGATTAAAGGAAGAACAACTATTCAATATGGTGATATAAATTTACAGATTTTTGCGGACTTATCGCATGAGACTTTGTGGAGAAGAAGAGCTTTGAGGCCCCTATTAGAGCAGATGAGATCAAGGAATGT